ATATGAAGAAAATAAAAGGGATTCTGAGAGTTTCAAAATCTATTTATGAAAATGGATTTTTTTGTTTTTTTATACTTTGGGAAGCTGTAATTGTGGTTTATAAAAGAAGTGGAATCAAAACTACAAACTAAACTTCCCAACAATTATCTAAGATGATTTATGCTTTTGTAGCATTTCCATAATTATAACAGTACATCACTAACATTTACCTCTGTTGACATTGAGCTTATCTGTCACACATTGCTGATGTAGAACCCCAGCAGTTTTATACAACAGTGTAAGAGAAACATCCGAGAATGGAGAAGGAGAGAAAACCCAGAGGCTGGTCATTGAGGTTTCATGTACTGGGTTAGCGCTGAATGACGTAGAGTGTTACATAAAGGAGGAAACAAAACTACTTTGTTTTCTACAGATACGTTTTTCATTATTAACTGGGTTGAGTCAGTTAAACATAAAAATAATCAAGAATGTTTGAGCTTCTTCTCCACCATGCCTTGCTCTGAAGAACTATCGGCCGTCTCCCCCAGCAAGCGGCCCCGGCCTCCGGAGGAGGGCGGCATGCGGCTTCGCTTTGTGCGTCTTTCGGAGCACGCCACGGCCCCCACCCGAGGGTCCTCGCAAGCCGCAGGCTACGACCTGTACAGTGCCTGTGATTACACAGTACCATCTATGGAGAAAGCAATTGTAAAAACAGACATTCAGATAGCTCTTCCTTCTGGGTGCTATGGAAGAGTAGCTCCACGTTCTGGCTTGGCTGCAAAACACTTCATAGATGTAGGAGCTGGTGTCATAGATGAAGATTATAGAAGAAATGTTGGTGTTATACTGTTTAATTTTGGCAAAGAGAAATTTAAAGTAAAAAAGGGTGATCCAATTGCTCAACTCATTTGTGAACGGATTTTTTTATCCAGAAATAGAAGAAGTTCAAGTGTTGGATGATACTGAAAGGGGTTCAGGAGGTTTTGGTTCCACTGGAAAGAATTAAAATTTGGGTCAAGGATAGAAAATGAAAAACATACTCTTTTTTCCTTAAAAATTGAGAGGCTTTGGTTAAATTGTTGGTGTTTAGCATCATTGTAAACTTAATGGTTTTAAGATTTGTAAAAATACTTCATTTTCCTATAGTTAAACAGAAAGATCGCGTAGAAATTATTTTCTTTTGTTTTCTGCAGTTGATGGTTGCTTGTAAATCTGCTTTGTGGTGATCTGATGCAACCATTTTAAAATCAGCTATACAATTAACAGATTTTTTAAATTCAATAAACAATACCTCTTCAGCAAAAAAAAAGAAAAAAAAGAATGTTTGAGGTATGATTGATTTACCAAAGGCCATATATATTTTCAGGTACATGTGACATATTTGGGGAAAAAAAACAAAAGTCTTGATCAGAAAAGGTATGAGTATTTCATTTTTTTAAATTATTATATACTGCATGGCAATATTAATGAATATAATAAGCTTGAAATATATTTTAAAATATGACAAAACCACAACTATTATATTTTGCAAATATAGCAATACACATAATTTGTTACATGATTTCACTCGCATACTAGATTGATCAGTATTTTCTACATATCAAGAAAGACAAGTTAACACTACTTTAAATATAAGAAAAATCCTTATATTTTGGTGTTGGGATTTTGTTAAATGGAATGAACAGGAGGATTCTGGGGTGCTACAGATATTCTGCTTATTGACTTAACCAGTAACTAAAATGATGTTAAGTTTATATAAAGTTACAAAATACACATGCAATGTAATTTTTTTCTCTATGCACGTTATATTATGAAATACAGAAGTACAGACAGGCATGATGCCAATGCCTGTAAGACTAGGACTCACGTGGCTGAGAAAGAAGGAAGAGTTTGAGGCCACCCTGGGCTACACAGCAAGATCCTTTCTCACACAAAACAAAACAAACAATAAAATTTAGAAGTACAAACTTTATGGGTAAATATGAAAAGTTATATTAAGAGGACAGGCATAGAACAGAAAGGTATATAGAAGTATAAGGACTATTGTGTATTATGAAAAAATAAAAAATAAAACATACACTATGTTATGCATAAAATTAAAACATCTGGTAATATAAAAATTAAGGTCTATTTTCATCCTAGGGACACAGAAAGGGACTGCTATGCTCACTTAAATTACACATTAAAATAGCTGAAGGAAAAGACAAAATGGTTGTGAATAAATTGCTGCCTTTTGTATATTGTAACACATTCTATCAGGAAATGATAAATCAAGAAGAAAATTACTAAGAATATAATGCTCACAATACACATCCATCCAGTTATTACATTATTGAATATTTATAAAAAATTTTATACATGGTCTCAAAAGTAAATCTATAATGAAGATCATAATTTTGCTGTGGAAATATATGCATTAATCTTCTATTAACCTTCTCGAATGATATCTGGAAAGAGGCACTACAGAAAATGAATTGAGTGAATATTGTCCAAGATATCCCAAGAAAGGGTACAAAGTTTGTTACAGTATAGATCATAAGAAATAAAATACTTCCTGCAGTGCATTGCTTAGGACATGATTGCCTCATCTCTCTAACAATGAGTCCCAAAATAGAGACAGAGTAGAATTATTTAGGGTCTCCCTAATGTACCAATTTTCTTTCTTACTGACTTAAGCACTAGCTCATTAAAAAATATCAAAGGTAAGGGTCTGGTGTGGTGTTTCATGTCTGTGATCTCAGCTATAGGAAAGCAGAGTTAGAAGGATCACTGAGACTGGCCCCAGGCAAAAACACAAGGCTCTTTCCAAAACACAATTAAAGCAAAAAGGGCTGGAGGTATAGCACAGGTAGTAGAGTGCTTTCCTAGGAAATTTGAGGTCCTGAGTTCAAACCCCTGTATCACCAAAAAATAAAATAAGATCAAAGTTTGCAGTGAAGACCACAATAAAATAATGCAGTTAAAGCATTTTCATAGCATGATCAGAAACACTTCCTGGTTGGGAGACACTGTAATAGACAGATCCTTTGCTAAGAACTTTCTGGGAAGCACCCTGCCCTCCTGGGACTACACACCTGAGAAGATTGATTAATTACACACTCTGAAAGAGGTTCAGACAGTCTTCAGTGTGGCATCTGCTGTATTTTATGACTTCATAATACTAGCAGACATGGAATTTCCCCCTAACTTGAAAAGTTTCCTCACATTGCAATTCCCTCTTATGATCAATGTTTCAAAACAGTGAAATAATTATAAGCAAAGACCTGCAATTACAATTCACACACTCTACAGAATAGAATTGTATAATCACATTTATAAAAGCACACACGGCGAATGTCTCCGTTTCAAAACTGAACCCTACGTATTTTTTGTTAGCATGTGTACAGACACTGAAGTTCTGACCTCCAATATTCATCTTGCACAATATTACCTCAAGCCTATAGGCTCCTCAGATTATGCAAATATTATAGATGTTGATATATTGGGTACTGATAAAAATATAGGAATCTCAGATATCATACAGAGTATTGGGTATAAAGAAAATTATTAGGTTATACATGATATAGTACAACATGAAATAGCAAAAATAAAGTAACATAATACAAAGACAATCTCACATAAGATGTAGGGATGTTTCATACAATACAATAAATAAAATCAATATAATATAATTAAATACAATACAATATAGTTTAATGCAATACAATACAATATAATACAATGTATTATAATTTAATATAATATATAATACAGGCACTAACCTATATCACTGCCATGCAAAAGGGCTGCAAATTTGACAAAATGGATTATTCCAAAATAAAAAGCTTCAGCATATCAGGAAAACAATTACCAGAATTAAGAGACAACCTACAGAATGGGAGAAAAATTTTTGTTAACTAGTCATGGGATAAAAGATTAATATCCAGAATATATAGCGAGTGCAAAAGTTAAACACCAAGACACTGGTGTGGAATCAAAACACCAAGACACTGGTGTGGAGGAAACAGAACCAAATGAACAAGACACCATCAGGACCTTGGGGTGACTACGGTAGAGAGAAAATAAACAAGAAAGTCTATGAAGAATTCAGGGAAAATCACCTTTTCTGCCAGCAGGGAGAAAAAAGCCTGGAGGGAGAATTGTAATATTGATAAAAACAAAGGGGGTAAAAGAAGGGAAACAAATTTCTGTAAGTGCAATGAAAGCTATCAGCCATGGGTTTGGACTATCAAAGAGTACCAAGATGGAACAGATTGAGTAGAAGGTGACAGAGGTGCACACCAGGATCAGATAGTTTGGGTGGGTCTGGCCTCTGGGGAGATCTTAGGGGAGTGGTGGGCATTTGTGAATGTGCTGTACTTGACTCTTGAGCCTGTAGGGGATGCTGACCATGGAGCCACTGGCCGAGACCATGAGGCCCAGGCACAAATCATCAGTGAGGCAGAGCATTAACACATACAAAGGAGTTGCCATTGTGCCAGAAACAAATCCCAACCAATAGCCAAAATCCAACCTCTCAGTGACATTTCTGCTCCTGTTAGGGGCAGTCACTCTCATGGTAATCATGACGTTTAGAAGCAGATGTACAAGCCAGCTGAGTGAACAGGAGGGACCAATGTACTTGTTGGCTCTGTTTCATCTTCATCCACCTGGTGTTGTTGGAGCTGATTGTGATTGCTTGGAAGCAGCTCAGGAGGTGCTTGATGTGCAGGGAAATCCCCTGGCCTGCTGTATAAAGGTAGAGAACAAGTTTGCACCCAATGTCATGCAGGAAATATTTCAAATCAAATGCTGTCATTGTCTGAGGGATTCCTTTTGTGATAATAGCCAAGGAGTTGGCAAAAGTCAAGTGTTTCACAATCATGTCTTTGGGTTTCAAAAATTTTCCAGTGAATACAGAGAAGACAAAATGAAAGAGAAGTGACCAATTGCCTCGTATTCCCAGTCCCTTCTGGAAGGAGAGTAAAACGCCCATTGCCAAGTCCTCAGGAATCATTCTCCTTCCTGCTAAAGAGTGATGAATGTATCAGGGTTCATAAGACCCTGAAGAAAAAAATAACAAGTCTGTGCTACATGTATGAAGGTGACTTAAATCAAATTTTTATCACTTCATGATATTTTTAAATCATTCCCACAGATGAGTATTTTCCAAGACTTTGTTGTTTATAGTAACAGATATTTTGTGTTATGTCAGTGTTACATATCACATACATTTAATAATATTTAATGTTTAGGCATTTAATGCTTTTTAAAATTTTAGGTATTTAATGTTGTAGGTAGTTAATTTTTCTCAAGTTTTAACAATTATGTTCTTCAATCCAAATATTTCTGTCATATAGTAAAAATGTTGTGGATTATTATGACTATTTCATAATACCCTTTTCAAAAAGAGCTTAATTTCAGTTAAGACTGGGGATGCAAATATCTCCATGTGATGGGAGATGATTACAGAATTTGGTCAATAATACCCCTTATAAAATATTGTGAAAAGATGCCAAGTTTCTTCCAGGTCAGGATTTTGAAACAGGGCATTCATCTTCATTGAAGTGAGAAACAAGACTATAATTGTTATAAACACTACAATTGTTCAAAAGTGCTATCATGTCAATATGATAGAAAAGAAAAAGCAAATTACTAATAAATAGTAAAATATTATTACTTTTCAAATCTGGCTTCATTATTTGTTAAAGTTAGTTAATTGAACCACAATTAGATTTGTTGTAAAAATTTTAATATAATTAATTATGAGATATATATAAATGTATTACAATTAATTTCAGCATTTCAGTTCAAACATAATTCTTAAGTTTCAAGTAATACATATAAAAAATTGGTGAACCTGAAGAAAGCATTATTTTAGAATGAATAAATGAAAAGATTGAATAAATGAAAAGATTATATAAATGAAAAGACACAGCACATTACTACTGTGAAATCTCATTATTCTGAATAAATTAAGCTTTTCCAAATTATTCTCCCCATTAAGTGAAATTTTAATTAGCTGTCAAAGAACTTTTAAAACTGAAACCACTATTTCTGAAATTCACATAGGTCAGAACTCAAAAGTTTAACAAGACAAATGGAGAAAATGTGTGAACCATGAATCTGATAAGAGTTAATATTCAGTGCTCATAAATAAACCTACAAATCAAAAGAAAAAAAATAAAGCTAAAAAAATTATTAAACTTAGGCACAGACTGGGCCTGATGGTGCAGATCTGTAATCCCGTGTCTTGGGAGGCTGAGACAGGAGGGACAGGAATTCAAGGCCTGCCTGGGTTACATTGTGAGACCCTGTTTCCAAACAAACACGTCAACAATGAGAATAATAAGAACAGCAAAATAAAATAAAATAAAATTGATTCAGGATATAAAGAGATTTTCTCAAAAAAATACATATATATAAAGAGATGTCTACATCATTATTTATTAGGTAATGCAAATCAAAATTGTAATGAGGGACTGTCAATGCATCTCAGTGGTATGTTCCTTGCTTACCATTCACAAAAAAATCATAAAACCTGCAATGAGATATAACCTCAAACCCAGTAGGATGGATAGTAGCCCAAACAAATAAGTGAACATACAAACAACAACATAAAGAGAAAATAAAAATTGCTTGTGAGAATGAGAAGACATCAGAACTTGTGCATGCAACATGGGAATGAGAAATGGCACAGGCAATGTGAAACACAAAGAAGAGGTTCCTGGACGAAACTGACATAGAATTAATGGGATCCAGGCACCTCACGTCTTACTATATATACAACTGAACATAAATCAGAGCCTTGAAGACATATTTCCTTATGTACTTTCACAGCAGCATTTTTCACAATAGCCAACAGGTGAAAATAACCCAAAAGTCCATCACCAGATGAATACACAAACACAATGTAGTATATTCCATTGTAGTATATACAATGGAATATTATTCGTCCTGAAAAAGGGGGAGAACTTTAATAGCTCATACAATGTAGATGAGAGTTGAGTGTAATGATAAATAATCCAGTCACAAATTCTGTATGATTCCACGCATATGATGTACCTGGAGTAGTCAAGCTCATAGGGACAGAAACTGGAGTGGTGGTTGTCCTGGGCTATGGGGAGAGGACAATGCAGAGGTGTTTAATAGGTACCTGGTTACAATTTGGCCATGAAAACATTGTGGATGCTCACTTAGAACGAAGTGAATATTCTTCACGCTACTGAAATGTACACTTAAAATAGTTAAGATGGTAAATTTTGGTACACTTATTTTACCAAAATTTCAAAATATTATAAGGGGATTCTGGGTAATCAGTGGGAGGGTTTGCTCTGTTGTAGTCATGTAGAGCTGGGATGACAAAGTCAGTATAAACGTCACAGGTTGAATAGGAGTGGGGAAAGTGGAAACTCTTGTGTTGTTTCTGGGGGGAATGCTTTCAGTTTTTCCCCAGTGAGTATGATGTTGGTTATAGGCTTATTATATATTGCCTTTATAATGTTGGGGTACATTCCTTTTATTCCTAGTTTTCTTAGAGCTTTTATCATGAAGTGGTGTTGAATCTTATGAAAGGCTTTTTCTGCATCTATTGAGATGATCAAGTGTTTTTTTTAAATCTTTGTTTCTATTGATGTGCTGTATTACATTTATTGATTTGTATATGTTGAACAACTCCTGTATCCCTGGGATGAAGCCAACTTGGTTGTGGTGAATGATCTTCCTGATATGCTGTTGGATTCAGTTTGCCATTATTTTATTAAGGATTTTTGCATCAATGTTCATTAAAGAGATTGGCCTATATTTCTCCTTTTTGGATGTGTCCTTGTCCAGTTTTGGGATGAGTGTAAGCCATCTCAAAGAATGGCTTCATAGACTGAGTTGGCAATATCCCTTCCCTTTCTATTTCATGGACAAGTTTAAGGAGAGTTGGTATTAGTTCTTCTTTGAAGGTCTGGGAGAATCCGTTAGGTCCTGGACTTTTTTGGGAGACTCTTTATTGCTGCTTCACTTTCATTACGTGTTACAGATCTGTTTAGATCATTAATATCTTCTTGGTTCAGTCTTGGATGGTTGTAAGTATCTAGAAATTTGTCTATTTCTTCAAGATTTTCCAATTTGTTGGAATATAGGTTCTCAAAGTAGTCTCTGATGATACTCTGGATTTCCATGGTATTTGTTGTTATCTTCCCCTTTTCATTTCTGATTTTGCGTATGTGGGTCTTTCCCTTCCTCGTTTTAGTCAGATTTGCAAGGGGCTTGTCAGTCTTGTTTACTTTTTCCAGCCTTTTGTTTCATTGATTCTTTGTATGGATGTTTTGCTCTCTGTTTCATTAATTTTGGCCCTTATTTTTTATTATTTCTCTCCTTCTGCTTGTTTTTGGTTTTGCTTACTCTTGCTTTTCTAGAAGTTTGTAGTATTAGGTTGTTTATTTGAGCTCTTTCTGTCCTTTTAATATATGCACTCACAGCTATAAACTTTCCTCTTATGACTGCCTTTGCTGTGTCCCATAGGTTCTGGCAGGTTGTGTTTTGATTTTCATTAGCTTCCAGGAATCTTTTGATTTCCTCTCTTATTTCTGCTATGATCCACTGATCACTGAGCAATGTATTATTCAGCCTCCAGTTGTTTGCGTGTTTTCTACTGTAGTTCTGGTATTTCTAGCCATAGTAATAAGGCAAGAAGAAGAAATAAAAGGAATACAAATAGGTAAAGGAATAGTCAAAATATCCCCATTTGCAGACAACATGATCCTATACCTCAAAGACAACTCCACCCAAAAACTTCTAGACACCATAAACAGCTTCAGCAATGTGTCAGGATACAAAATCAACTTACAAAAATCAGTAGCCTTTCTATACACCAACAATGAACAAATTGAGAAAGAATATAGGAAAACATTTCCATTTACAATGGCCTCAAAAAATTAAATACCTAGGAATAAACTTAATGAAGGGTTTAAATGACCTCTTCAAGGAGAACTACAAACCACTGAAGAAAGAGATCAAGGAAAACTACAGAAGGTGGAAAGATCTCCCATGCTCTTGGATTGGTAGAATCAACATAGTAAAAATGGCTGTACTACCAAAAGCAATCTATATGTTCAACACAATATCCATCAAAATTCCAATGACATTCATCACAGAGATTGAAAAATCTAGCCTAAAATCCACTTAGAAGCACAAAAGACCATGATTAGTCAAGGCAATACTGAACAAAAAGAGCAATGCTGGAGGTATCACAATACCCAATTTGAAGCTATATTACAGAATCAAAGCAATAAAAACAGCATGGTATAGGCACAAAAACAGATATGAAGACCAGTGGAACAGAATAGAGGACTTGGATATGAATCTACACAGCTATATCCACCTTATTTTGACAAAGGTGCAAAAAACATGTAATGGAGCAAAGACAGCCTGTTCAACAAATGTTGCTGGGAAAAGTGGCTAGCTCCCTGCAGGAAACTGAAACTAGACCCCTGCCTGTCACCCTGTACTAGTATCAACTCAAAGTAGATTAAGGCCTTACTATTAGACCTGAAACCTTGCAGTTAGTACACAAAAGATCAGGGAATACACTGGAAGCAATAGGTATAGGCAAGGAATTCCTCAGTAGAACTCTAGCAGCTAAGCAACTGAGAGAAAAGATAGACAAATGGGACACACAAAATTAAAAACCTTCTGCACAACAAAAGAAATGGTCTCTAAACTAAGAGACCACCACTGACTGGGAGAAAATATTTGCTAGCTATACGTCAGACAAAGGACTGATAACCAGAATATATAGAGAGCTCAAAAACTAAACTCCCCCCAAATCAATAAACCAATACTGAAGTAGCAACTTTACTAAACAGAACTTTTTCTAAGGAAGAAATCCAAATGGCAAAAAAAAAAAAAAACACAATGAAAAAATACTCACCGTCCGTGGCCATAAAGGAAATACAAATCAAAACCACACTAAGATATCACCTCACTCATGTTAGAATAGCTATCATCAAAAACACCACCACCAAC